CAGCACGAGGAGATCTGGCTGCGCCGCCCACCTGGCTTCACTGGGTCATTTCCTCCTGGTACCCAGTGGAGCCTCAGGCGGCCAGTCTACGGTCTCCGCCAGGCGCCCCGTGAGTGGCACGACACACTGAGGACCACACTTGTGGCTCTTGGGTTTGCTCCTTCTACAGCCGGCCCGTCGCTGTTTCTGCGCACCGACACCTCTTTGCCGCTGTTCTACATCCTCGTGTACATCGACGACTTGGTCTTTGCCACTGCTGACACTGCTGGACTCGCCCACGTGAAGTCCGAGCTGCAGAAGAGACACACGTGCACAGACCTGGGTGAACTGCGCAGCTACCTTGGCTTGCAGATCACCCGGGACAGAGCACAGCGCACCATTACCCTGACTCAGTCACACATGGTGCAGCAGGTCCTTCAGCGCTTCGGCTTCACGTACTCCTCGCCTCAGGCCACTCCTCTGCCTACTCGCCACTCGCTCTCAGCTCTGCCTTCGGATGAGTCCGTAGAGTCGAGTGGCCCGTACCCAGAGCTTGTTGGCTGCCTCATGTACCTGATGACCTGCACACGACCTGACCTTGCATACCCTCTTAGCATCTTGGCACGCTATGTTGCTCCTGGGAGACACCGACCAGAGCACATGGCTGCAGCGAAGAGGGTGTTGCGCTACGTGTGCAGTACGTCGGGCATGGGGCTAGTGCTTGGAGGGCGACGTCGAGTGGTCCTCACAGGTCACGCTGACGCTTCTTGGGCTGACGACCAGCCGACACAGCGGTCGTCACAGGGTTACACCTTCAGCCTTGGCTCCGGCTCTGTTTCGTGGCGGTCTACCCGCTCGTCTTCTGTTCTCACCTCCAGCTGTGAGGCTGAGATCTACGCGGGGGCCATGGCTGCACAGGAGCTACGCTGGCTCACCTACCTGTTGACTGACCTAGGAGAGCCGCCTCGTTCTCCTCCAGTTCTGTACGTAGACAACAAGGACATGCTGGCCTTGTGTCGGGAGCACAGACTGGAGCACAAAACGAAGCACATTGCTCTTCGCTACTTCCTGGCTCGTGAGTTGCAGCAGCGTGGTCAGCTCCGCCTCACCTAGGTGGCCTCTGAGGCCAACACTGCTGATATCTTCACCAAGGCCCTTCCGCCTTGTGATCATCAGCGCTTCTATGCTATGCTAGGTCGTGTGCCTACTTGGCCTCACTTGCTCACTTCTTGATCTTGTTTGTACTGTACTCTTTCTATACCTGCACTTGCTTGTTTACCTTTATATACATGATCTTGCATATGAACTGGCCTTGTGGCCTTGCTCTTGTGCTCGGACTGTGTGGTGACGTTGTGATCCACCCTGAGCTTGCTTTGCTTTGCTTGACTGGTCTTGTGACCCCTTGTTCTCCCCCACTTTGCCTATGGGGGTGTGTCAGGCATATATGCTATAGTTTGTGTAGGCTGTAGTGGGGCAGTTCAGATGGGGTACAACACTTTAGGGTTTACTACTTGTACTCCTCATTCTGCTCAATGCATTCATTCCTCGTTTCTTATCATGACGTACTTGTCTAACCGCTCCGCTTCCGACGTGTCGTCCACTTGGTCGGCGAGGGCCATGAACGTTGCTGTGTAGTCTTGGACAGATGCCAACTGCGACCAGGTACGCAGCTTCATGCGAGCTTGCTCCGAGCCGGATATGTGCTCAAAGCGATCTTGTAAGGCTGCGCCCCACTCCTTCTACGTGCGTATCTTGGTCACGTCGAATATCGGTGCTGCCACTTGATAAACCGACGTTGAAGTCCCGTCTTTCGCATGTGTCACATCTGTCGGGGTCCTCGTGTCCAAGGTTCGGCGCCACCACTCAAGCGCTGCGCCTCGAAGAAGCGCAACCTCGTAATTAATACGCGTGGCATCGTCGTTCACGCCTGCTGCAATGCAGAAGACTTCAACGCCGAAAAGCCACCCCTGTAACTGTAGTATTCTTGTCCGTAGGGTTGAACGGGAGCGGGTTGACGGGTTTAATCTTGATCGTCGCTACTGCAATTGGCGTCGCTGCCGCTCGCTGCCTATCCTCTTCTTCGAAATCACGTGTGAGCGCGTCCAACGGGTTGCTCACTGCTTGACTGTTGCCCTCGCCTTCTTCATCGGGCGACCCCTGACGCGCTTCATCTCGCGTCTGGCGTAGCTCGGCGTTTTCCCCTCGCAGTGTTGTCACTTCTGCTGATAGTGTCTGCACTGTTGCCTGTAGCTCTGCCATTTGCGCCAGCATCTTGTTCAATGTCTCCTGGTTCATGAGTCGCACGCTTCGTCTGGTGGGCAGAGGGGTATCCGTGGCCTTCCGGTGAGTGAAAAACATGAACTATCGGAGTCGGGTAGGATTGAATTAACAAATCTTACAGCCAACCGTCGTGTAGTCCACTATACCGGCCACACCCATGCCACCAAACTACCCTCGAAAAGCGGGGTGAACTAGGAAAGTAGCTCTGATACCAGGTGTTATGAGTTGTAAGGGAGAGTGCGCGGAATAACGAATAACGAAGATGTGACTCAATGAAGTGACAATACAATGAAGGCACGCGCTAATATAGTGGGTCAACCTAGCTAGGCGGGAACCTCGGGAACACGAGGTTGGGTGCAGGTTGGGCAAAGGAAAGGTCGAAGGCGACGCGAGGTTGCTTCGGCAGCAAGCAAAGTGGCCGAACGTGCACTTCCGAAAGTTGGGGTTGTGCGTTGTTGAGTAAGCCCCTGTAAGGAAAAGGGTTTTTTTCTTACAGTTTTTAGCCAATAGCACTACACTTCTATAGCGTACATGTTAGAACACTATGATGGTGAGCTTGAAGATATATTGATATGCTATCTTTTCAGTATAACGAAACATGTACAAATCAATGAGTAAATTGCCACATTGAAGTGAAGATACGGTAGTTGAGCTATCTATATCTTAATCAAGCTAATTTTAGATGGTTTTCCATTATGTTCTCAAGTTTGCTGTTCTCATCTTCTACAACGCGTCTGCGGTTTGTCAGATCGACATCGGCGTTGGGTGTGGCCTTTGGCGGCCGTCTTGTTTTCGTGCAAGCACACCCCCAGCCTCACCAACTGATCGAAGCCGTCGCACCTGGTTGGGGCCCCAGGCCCCCAGCCACTGTCCACGCCAAACCAGCAAACGGGAAATTCTTCAGCGATGGCGAAGTCAAAAACTCCCGCCAAACCAAACGGTCACAAAATTTCCCATCAACCTCAACATTGGGAAACACCTGCGCAACTGCGGTAACCACATTGGCAAATCCTTCGATGCGCAAAGCGCCATTCCCCCGTATTTTTTCGTCCCCTCGCGCTCCGCGAAAAGTACACCCATCAATCAAACAGAGATGCCCCCGAAAATAATAATCCTCACCGAACCGGACAGTCCTTGCGGATCTCCTCCACAAGTGATGCACATTCCCTAATTCTAAGCAGCGCAGCGTTTTGAGGAATTCCCGTCTTTTAGGCGTAATTAAGTTCTGATATGTGTGCAAAGGCTTTTAGATGGGAGTGAGGATAGGAGGGTGGAGAGAAGTTTGCAACCCAGAGACTCCCGGTAAATCAGTGGCTATACGAAGCCCTTAAGCATCACAAGATTTACACAACATACCCCCTAAAAAGCGCACAATTTGCTTACTCAGTAGTTGAAAATGAGGCTACTTGGCTTCATATCAAACTACCAGGGTCTCCTTCAGCTGGCTGGAAGAGAATGCTCCCTCTTCTTCATTGTTCAGCAGCAGTACGCGCCACGCAAATGAACAGCTAGCAAGCAATCCTACAAGGAAACGGCATTCCCCCCTCCAAACTACCATCTGGTGGAAACAACGTTTCAGGAACTTCTTGGGATCAACTGAATGAGCCACCATCACTCAATTCCCAAGTCCTCACAATCAGGATTCAAAGCTGTTCACGAAATCGGAGCAGAAGGTTTCTGCGGAATCCCTACCTCAAGGAGCTTCTAACGTTTCATAGCGACTGCCTAATGCATTGGTGGAGGTGCTAATGGAATGCGCACCAGGATAGAACGTTAGCTTGCGGTTGAGGTTGACAGAGTGTAGCGTAGCATCCACTCGAGCAAATCCCTATCACTAAATCAATTATTATTTTACTTTATGGCGCGAAAAGTATCGCAAGTAGCAGGAATTCTAGACATCCATATCATTCAGGCGGAAGGATTGCGCGAACTATGCGACTACGGACCCCAGGATGTGTACGCGCGGGTGCTCTGCGGCGAACGCGACGACATCGGACGAGTGGCTCTGACCACGAAAACCATTAAGTCTGGCGGAAACAACCCCATATTCAACCAACGACTCCAGGTTAGAGGAAGAATATTGACAGTCTTGGAATGGTATGCATCACAGCTCCCTAAACGCTTCTTCCATTTTATCAGTCGACTCATCAACAGTCCAGGTTAGATGATGAGAGCCTGCAGACTGATCATGATTAGAGCACTGAATCCGTCCTTCTAGTTCATGGTAGGGTGGGTTTTTTTACCTCTAGTGCCGTGATCATTGATTCATGCACCCCCTTTTGCCTAACCCACCTTTCGCTCTTCCGCTCCATATCAGGTGGGGATGTCAAGTGTGAGAAATGGATGACAAATCACAGGCGTTTTGAGATTGTTCAAACTAGTTTGTTTCCTTCATTTGTCACCTGATGTCTCTTTCCTCCACTGACATACTTCTTCGCTCTTCAGGTTGGCGTGCCTGAGCGCGAGACGGAAGTGAAGTGCGAGATATGGATGGCGAGCCACCACCGCGGCACGACGGACGATCAGCTGCTCGGCTTCATCCAGATTCCCATCAGGTCAAACTTCTATCATGTGCTAAAGTTATCATACTATTTGTGTGCGCATCATATGCTTCAACACCACAGGCAATCAACTGCTGGTTTCATCCAGATTTCCATCAGGTCAGATCTCCATCAAATCATATTCTCTGATGTCGGACTCTTTCAGGCGAATTTCTCATGTATCACGCCATCAGATCATCAATGCGTGCGTTAGGTGTTTCGAATTCTCATCAGGCTAGCAAGGTAAAGAAGGTTAACATCATTGTTACCTCCCATTGTTACATCATCGTATCCGTAAGCAGGTTGACCATCATTTGCTTGATTTCGTGCATCCGTCGAGCTTGGTTTGGTTCAAAGATTCTTTGAGCAGACGAGCTTGTCTTTGTCATTGCTTCAACCACGGCTCGTTGGTGTTGACTCACAATTGACATACCTTCACCCCTTTTTGCCCGTGCATTGGAACAGGGACATCATGGAAAGAGGTAAAGCCGGCGATCAGGAGTTCTACCTGCGAGCTTTTGACGAAGTTGGTAACCTCTTTGCCAGCTCCGCGAAAGTTCGCATCTCCCTCTCGTACCACCCGCGACCGGGCAGTGCAACCCCCACTGGCGGAAACACCCCCGCTTCTAAGGCACGCGGAACGCCCTCCAGCGCAAAGGGGAACATTCTCGGCCGCGCGCTTACCGCAGCATTCTCCCGCATCTCCGCGGAAAGGGCTGCAGAAAAGGGAGCGGAAAAGGGCGGCGGCGGCGGTGGAATCTCGGCCTCTCCCGCGGGAACCCCCGTCCGTGCGCAGTCGTTCTCCCGCGTCCACCCGGAGACTTTCAGCAGCGCCGGCGGAGTGGGAGGTGGAGGGGGAGGGGGAGGGGGAATGCCCGGGGGAACTCCTACCGGAACGCCCGCGCGCATCCGCGGGGAAGAAGGGGGGCTTTTAGCAGGGGGGCCGACAGTGCAAGGCAATCCAGGGGGCCCTCTCACCGGTGCTGGAGCTACTCCGGTGGGTACACCTGGGACTACACCTGGGATCACACCTGGGAATACACCTGGCCAGGCGTTGGCGAGCTTACGACTTGCGAATCTGACGTTCACGCCTGGGATTCAAACACGCGAGGCCATGTCGTCGCATGGCCCTAGTTCGCTGCAGCGGTCGCGGCCCATGTCGCCACGGTCGCCGGCGTCGCCCAGGTCGCCCATGTCGGAGGTGCGCGACGGTCTGCGACACGGGCTGGACCTGGTGCAGGCGCTGCGCGAAGTTACAGAAGGCGGTGCGAAATTCGCGAACGCGAGTAACAAGAAGCAGAAGTCGAAATCGGGGCCGTTGAGCGTGAACCATCCGTATATGATGGAAGCCGTGGATCTACAGCGCAAGCATAAATATAAAGCGCAATCCGGCCCGTTATTCGATAGCGGAGACGCCTATGACGCGGATGGGGGAGGCTCCGGAACCTGCAGCCCGTACAGCCGCCGCCCCGCGTCCTCCTCCCCCCCGAGGCATGTGCGCAAGATGATCCTCCCCCACCGCTCCGCCACTCCGCCCATGTCCTTCCGCGAGGCCCCGCAGCCCCCCCATTCCGGGGGGGGATTCATCCTCGGTAGAAGCGCTCCGCTAAATCCAGAGGCCTTAGACCTCTGGGAAGGGGGAGAACCCCCACCAGCGGTATTTACCTCGAGATCTGGGCCGTTACGGCTGCAGGGTAATTACTCGGGATATAAACCAACATCGGGGCCTCTACCCACCACGACGTCTCTCATGAAGCTCGACTCGTTAGACACTCCGCCGACTCTCCCCCCTCCCCCGTCTCTCCGCGCTATGAGGCGGGGAGGGGTGGCGGGGAGCGGGCTGTTTTCGCATTCGATTGTTAGCGGGAGTGCTTATAACGGGGCTGCGTTAAGCGGGGGGACGTTTAGCGCGGGAGCTGGGAGCATGCAGGAGACGAACAGCTCGAGCGGCTGCCACGTGGGATCCACGGGCGATGACGTGTCATCTGGTATGGCAGGCTCGGGGATGACAGGTTCGGGAATGACAGGTTCGGGGAGGATGCTTCGAAGGCAGGGGTCTGGCGGAAGGCAAGGGCCGGGCGTGCAGCTAGGGTTCGGCGGACGAACAGGGGGAGGCGGAGGCATGGGGGGGTTTACAGGCGAGAGGGTTGGCACGTGGGGGAGTGGAGGAACGGGGGGAAGCGAAGAGACAGGGGGAAGCGGAGGTGCGGCGGCATCTGGGGGGTTGATGGCTGGTGAGTTTGGCAGCTTCGGGGGCGGGTGTGGGGCGGGCGGATTTGGCAGCTTCTCCAGCCTGGCGTCTCACGGGTCTGTGAAGGCCCCGCTACAGTCCCAAGGCAGCTTCAGCACCATCAATGGTGCAACTACCTCCTCGGGCCCAAGAGGAATGCCTAAGAGCCTGCAGCGCGGGGGGAGCGGGGGGAGCGTGCAGGACGAGGGCGGGGGGGAGGCGGAAGGTGAACAAGGGGCCGGAGGGGAGGGAGTGGGATTGGCAGGAGGATATGCGGGAGGGGAAGGATTCGTGGTGGGAGCGGGCTTAGAGGCGGACAATGAAGTGGCACTGTTTCTGCCAGAGGGACGAACCTTTGAGGAAATGCTGATGGAGGAGAAAGAAACGGGGTTTGAACACGGAACTTCCACCGCCGTCGCCACTTCTGCTACTGGCGAGGATGAGGGTTTTGAGACGAGCCACATGCTGATGGACGCGGCAGGTGCATTGGATGCGTTTCCCTTGCCGATGCCCGAAGGGTTTGACACGATGGGATGGGATGAGATGGAGGTGTCAGAAAATGGGGGTGTGGCGGAAGGAAATGCGGCGTGGGGAAGAGAGTCTGTGCCCGGGGGCGGAGGTGGGGTTGATAGGGTGGGGGATGAAAGCAGCATCATTGCGAACGAACCTTGTATGCAGCAGCCACAGTATGTGCAGCAACAGCAGCAGCAGCAGCAGCATTACTCCCAGCAGCACCAGCAGCAGCAGTACCAGCAGCAGCAGCTGCCGCAGCAGAACCAGCAGATTCAGCAGCAGCACCACCAGCACCAGGAGCAGCACCAGCAACAGTACCACCACCACCAGCAGCAGGACCAGCACCAGGAGCAGCACCAGCAACAGTACCACCAGCAGCAGCAGCAGGACCAGCACCAGCACCATTACGGGAACCAACAGCAGCAACCTGAGATTCTACCTGAATTAACTCCTGCAGCTGCTGTTCCGCATCCGCTAGTCGCATCATCCTCGTCCTCCACTATCCCCTGTGGATTCAACATACTCCAGAAATCCCCGGTTTTAAATACCAGCCTTGTCTCAGGGCGCAGCGCACATCCTTCCGTGGCGTCAGCAGCAAGGCTATCCGCGCAGCAGAAGCTGTGGCAGCGGCGGCAGCAGCAGGGAATAGGAGGGGCAGGTGGTGGGGGGATGAGGCAAGGGACCGGAGGAGAGAGAGAGCAGCTGGAGCAGCAGCATCAGCAGCAAATGATCTCACAGCTGCAACAGCAGCAGCAGCAACAGCATCAGATGAGCCCTCAGCAGCAGCAGCAGCAGCAGCAGCATCAACAACATCGGATGAGCCCACAGCAGCAACATCAGATGAGCCCACAGCAGCAACATCAGATGAGCCCACAGCAGCAACATCAGATGAGCCCACAGCAGCAACATCAGATGAGCCCACAGCAGCAACATCAGATGAGCCCACAGCAGCAACATCAGATGAGCCCACAGCAGCAACATCAGATGAGCCCACAGCAGCAACATCAGATGAGCCCACAGCAGCAACATCAGATGAGCCCACAGCAGCAACATCAGATGAGTCCACAGCAGCAGTGGAATGGGGAGCAGGCGCCAGCACCAACTCAGAACGGCTGGGCACGCCAGCAACCCGCAGCCAGGCAGCATGCATTCCAGGTGAGCCGCACTGCCTCTTCCCTCACTGCTTTTGAGATGTCCCACTTTGAAACTTGAGACGCCGCCTGAGACGTCTAAAACGAGTCACCAACCTCGTTTCTTTCTTTCCTGCTGCTTGATCCGCACTGCCTTTTCTTTCCGTGCTGTATCTTAGATGTCTGGGTTTGAGATCTGTGACGTCACATTCTATGGTTGAGACGTCACAGTCTATATGTCTTAGAGTTTGAGTCGTCACAGTCTATATGTCTTGAAGCTTGAGATGTCTCAAAACGAGGCGCAAACCTCGTTCCCAGTGACCTGCACCCATTGTCGCAAACCTCGACACACCTCAAACCTAGCCTTTTCCAGCTGGGCGGCACTGTTGGTTCACTCGCTCTTTCTCTCCCCTTGCACTTATTTATTCTTTGCCATTCTCCCGTTCACAACCCCCCCGCCCCCCCCCCCTCCCCTCCCCCTCCCCCTTCGGTCCCCAACCACCTTCTCCTCTTCTCCCCTCGTCGTTTCTCTCGCCCTGGCCCCTTTTTCTCCCCTCCCCGTCCCCCCCCACCTGACGTTTCCAGCAACAAATGGCACAGGCACAGCAGCCTTTATCGGCAGCAGCCCACACGTGCCAGCATGCCGCCTATACATGCCCCAGTGACATTCAGCAAGTGACAGCGGATGCCGGCCAGGTGAGCTGCTTGCACCCAAGCGAAGCCAGCCACGCCATCGGCTTGAGCGACACGATTGTCCTGAGCGATACAGATGAAGAAATGGACGCTGTGCTTCGATCGATAATCAAACCAAACAGCAGCAGTGGCAAAGGTGGTAACGGCAGCGCTGTTGCTGGTGTTAACGACATCAGCAGCAGCAGTGGGGGAAGCAGCAGGAGGAGGAGCCTGTCAGCCTCTCGGGTGATCAGCATCAGCAATGCAGCACTGCAGGAGCAGCAGCACCTGCTGCAGCAACAGATGGAAGCGGCTTCAGTGGCACCGTTTCCCCATTCCCAATCCACGTCCTCCCTGCCACGTCAGCTGCCAGTCAGCCCAGTCAATCAGCAGACACAGCAGAACTTCCAGCAGCAGCAGCAGCAGCAGCAGCAGCAGCACGGATTAAGCATTATCCCGGGAGTGGTGAATGTTGACACGGCACAGCCATTCTCCCCCCCTTCCGACGTCCCTCCCTTCAGCGCGTTCGATGGTGCTCTCTCCAACCCACCAACGGTGGACAGAGGAGAACCAGCAGCAGCATTAGCAGGAGGAGTTGCAGCAGTTGCCAGGGGCAGTGTGGGTGGCAGTGGTATGGGTGGTGGCGTTGGTAGTGGCATTGGAAGGTCTGGCTTGAGTGGTGGTATTGTGGACGGATGTGGGGGTAACGCTGGTGGTGTCAGTAATCTGAAGCAGCAGCAGCAGCAGCAGCAGCAACAGCAGCAACCATACCTGCAGCAGCACCATCAACAGCAGCAATTGGGTCAGCAGGGTGAGCAGGAGGGGCATGTGATGGGCATGTGGAAGGTTTATGACAACCAGCTTCTGTCTGGTCACCAGCTTCTTTCAAACAACCAAACCCTACCTGGAAGAATTCACGCGCCTCCCTCGCTGTCGTCTCCTGGGTTCGGCACGGCAGCAGGGCCAGTAGGGGCAGTAGCAGCAGCTGGGAGTCCCTTGCATCGATCGAGGGGTGTTGGGCGGAGAACAATGGGAGGGGGCATTGGTGGGGGAATCGGAGGGGCGATGGGAGGAGGAATGGGAGGGCTGGGAGGAAGAATGGGAGGAGGGACAGAAAGTGGCTTTGACACTGGTGGTGCTGTCACTGATGCTGTAGGTGTGGTGGCTAATGCAGCAGCAGCACCCGTGGCTGGAGTGCAGTATGCCTGAAGGGTTTTGGTGTAAGAGGGTGAAGTGGAGCATTGCGGGTATGGCCATTTGGCTGTGTGGCTGTGTGGCTGTGTGTGCATCTCGCATTTTGCTCGTCCCAAGACCAGACGAGCTACACTTGAGGGGAGTGGTCGTTGTACAAACAAAGAACATGGTACCAATGCCAAGGAGCTGGGACCTGCATTTCAGTTTTCAGGGAGGGAGGAAAATAAGTTATTGTTTGTTTGGTGGAGGGGGTTAGTTACTTCAGCGCCTGCTACTTTGCTCGAAGCTCAAGAGTCGAGACAAGCTGGCCCTGATTTCAAGATGATTGAAGGTCAGTTCGTAGGCTAGAGGCGGGTGATTATATTAAAGAATTGTTCTTGCAGACTGTTAGACAGTCGAGTTATGTGTCTGTGCGTGGGTGCGTTTAGGAATGTAGGTGGAACCACCTTTAGTCATGAATGTCTGGCTATTGATTGAGGTTCATCTTCTGAATTAACTAGCTAAAACAAACACAGCAGCCAAAACAGAAGTCCGGCAATAATAAGGCACGCAATCTACACCCAGGTCCTGCAAAAAACTCCTCCCACCCAGCCGACACCACCAGAAACCCCATACACCTCAACTAGCCATGTGCTAAACCACCACCATTAATCTAACCTCCCACCCGTCCACAAACAGGTCGCTCTGGAAGATCTTATTTCAGCCCTACCAGTAAGTGAACATGGTTGCACTGGGCATGCCTAATCTCAAAATTCCAACCAACCCCCATGCGTCCAAACCAATAACATAACGTTCACAAACCCCTCAAGAGTATCTCTCCTTGTGTTGCGATGTCTTACCATCTTCCACCTTGGCGTCACTTCAAGCTCTGTCGAACCTCCTTCGCACTTCGCCAGTTACACCCTGCGCGGGTGATGGTGTCGAATCTGCTTATTACGGGTACCACTGCCTCCCGCTTCCATACAGGCGGCGGCGGTACATCTTGGGGGGAGACCAGGGGCGCCCGCCCCCATACAAGCGGCGGCTGTACATGGGGCGCCCGCTTCCCCACAAGCGGCGACTATACATCTTGGGGGGAGACCAAGGGCGCCCGCTCCCATACAGGCGGCGGCTGTACATCTTGGGGGGAGACCAGGGGCGCCCGCTTCCCCATAGGCGGCGGCTCATCTTGTTTTTTCCGCCCGCCAGTGCCCCGTCGCCGAGGGGAGCGATCGGGTGCGGCGGTTCTGCGCGGATCTCTGCCACGGGACGCTCTAATTCGCGCAACTGCACTCCGCCGCTGCTGTGCGCGCGGGGCTCCATCTCGCGCAGCATAGCTCCACTTGATTCGGGGCAGTAGTCGTATCCTCTGTCATAGGAATACTGATTGACCCAGTACGGGGTAATCCCGTCGAACCCACCCCCGTTACACTGCGGGTAACCAAAGTCGTCACAGTCAGAATTCCCAGGGCACTGCAAGAGAGTGATTCCCCACTCGGTGTCATACGTGTTCGCCTGTATGCCGGCGCTTAACTCGTAACCGGAGAGGTCTATATCGCAGCAACGCGGCAGGTCGTGCGGGTTCCCCTCGCAGTCCGCGCAGGTCAGCGCGCCGGCCTGAACAAGCGTGCACTCTCCCGAGCCGTCCGTGGAGTAACCGCCGCCGTAGAGGCACGAGTAGCGCCAGCCGTCACCGTTACAGAAGCTCAGGACGGCGACGTTCTCGCGGACCTCGTTCGCGCAGTCGAATTCGAACGCGCGCACCGGAGCGAGCGGGAGGAGGAGGCAGGAGAGGAGGAGAGTCGCGAGGAGTGTTCGGAGAAACGCGCGAGGAGCGTTTCTGGCCGCCATCGGAGATAGTGACGCGTCGCCGGTACCAGCTGATGAGGCAAACGAGAAAAAAGCGAAACCTGCTATTCGTAAGTACTCAACGAATCAACAAACGTGGTATTCGAAAAAAGAAGGGACGTTGAGATTCTACTAACAAAAGAACGAAGAGTTGCGCAGAGGCGCTGAAGATCGCTGACGAAATTCTTGCTTCGAAGGAACCGGCTACCATGATAGCTGTGAAAGTAATCAAGCTGGGATCTGCTGAGAAATACAGGTTAGAGCGAACTAAATACTAGACGCTGGACCAGTGACCGTGTGAGTCGAGGCGAAAGAGAAGGAAGGATTGTGTGGAGGGAGCCAGGGGGGGAGGTGAGTGAAGCCAAAGCTCCGTGCAAATGAGCTGATGTGTTTCTTGGGTTAGGAATGAAAACATGAGCGAGTCTATCACGACAGCAATGCACGGAATGCGAATCGCGCCGAGTCACCTAGTTCGCCGTGCGACGCCACGCACGCATTTCGCGTGTTTCTCCCGAGTCTGGCTGTGCCCTTGCTTTTCGCAAGCTTGTTTCGCGCGTTTCTTACCGAGTTGTTAAGGGGCAGGGGCCAACGGGACTAGCCCTCGGTGATGCTCTGTTACGGCGTGAATGGCTGGCGAAGAAATTTACGCAGAGTTTATCTCCGCTGGAAGTATCGCAGCTGACGTTGACTTCATTGGGAGGCAATGACACGTAGTACACGCCCTTTACAATCGAATTCGCTAAGAACTGATCATACTATAACCCTTCATAAACTAATCACTGCAACTTTCTTTAACCTGAGATGAAAAGAGGTACTTCTAGGATGGTGATAACTTCACCATAGCACATGTTTGGATTCCAAACATATTGAAATAGAAACACATAGATTATGTACACAATTAGAGGGATCACCTTTCATATATGCAAGTGATAGGGGACACTTATAAGAGGAGGCCCCGATACTTGGGAGAAACGACATGACAGATAAAGCTGTCCATCTTCCACTACACTACTGCACCGGTACAGCTGGAATTGCCGCCAGCTGTACACATGTAAGGAGACATGAAGGAAAGACAGATAAGTGTCGATGAGAAAAGCACTCAAGCGGCGTTGTCTTCAGAGATGCAGAGAAGCAGCAAGGTGGTTTTTAGAATCAACCCAAAGTAACCTTTGAGTCAAACCAAAGTGGCCTTCAGGTCGACCCAAAGCGACTCGTCAAGTGGACCCAAAGTGACCTTACAGCTGACTCAAAAGATACAGCGAATCAGCAGCTCATTTGTAGCATTGCATTGCAGAGGTTATGGGTGGTTCGGTCAACATGCTATAGATGCTGCTCACTACAGTGAGAATTCCCAGAACTGACCGACCAGCATGCTCTTCTTGTTATTCACAATACCCACTACCAATAAGAACCACTAAGTATGTAAAATCAGTAACCCACCCATAACAGTGCGGTGCTGTAGCCATGGGGAAATCAGTTTCAAGCCATGGGGAAATCAGGCTCATGCCAGGGGGAAATCAGGCTCATGCCATGGGGAAATGAGGCTCATGCCATGGAGAAATCAGGCTCATGCCATGGGGAAATCAGGCTCATGCAATGGGGAAATCAGGCTCATGCCATGGGGAAATCAGGCTCATGCCATGGGGAAACCAGGCTCATGCCATGGGGAAATCAGGCTCTCTTAGGATCGTAACCACCTTAGTCGGCAATAGTCTACTTGCTATCGCCTATCGTGTTCTCCACGATCTTCCGAATCCAATGATATGCGAAGCTCTGCTTGAAGTTGTCAATACACACTTCAGCAATTTTCAGAATCTGATTGGTGTGATTTCCATAATGAGTACAAGCAGTTTTATAGTCAGGCAAGACACAAAATGCGATTCGTAACTTCACTTGTTTCCCAAGTAACCGCGTGCGCTTCGTTTCACCCCGAGTCACACACGCAACCGAACCGAATTCGGTGAACACTCCTCGAGACCGAATCTGGAACCTTCTCGAACACCCCTCGAGCTCGAACCACAATTTCCCTTCGCCAACTTCAATCTCGATGCTTCTTCCACCTTCTCACACATTCCTTCTCGATTTCTCTCTCCCTTCTCACGCCGTAGGCCGATTTCCACCGTTTCACCTAGAATCATCCACGCGCTTCCATTTCGCCGTCATTCCGCCGTCGTAGATGCTTTCGCCTTAGGTTCCGTGGTTGGGCGAACCAACCCTAACAGGCCCATGCTATGGGGAAATCAGGCTCATGCCATGGAGAAATCAGGCTCATGCCATGGGGAAATCATGCTCATGCCATGGGGAAATCAGGCTCATGCAATGGGGAAATCAGGCTCATGCCATGGGGAAATCAGGCTCATGCCATGGGGAAATCAGGCTCATACCATGGGGAAATGAGGCTAATGCCATGGGGAAATCAGGCTCATGGTATGGGGAAATCAGGCTCATGCCATGGGGAAATCAGGCTCATGCCATGGGGAAATCAGGCTCATGCCAGGGGGAAATCAGGCTCATGCCATGGAGAAATCAGGCTCATGCCATGGGGAAATCATGCTCATGCCATGGGGAAATCAGGCTCATGCAATGGGGAAATCAGGCTAATGCCATGGGGAAATCAGGCTCATGCCATGGGGAAATCAGGCTCATGCAATGGGGAAATCAGGCTCATGCCATGGAGAAATCAGGCTCATGCCAGGGGGAAATCAGGCTCATGCCATGGGGAAATCAAGCTCATGCCATGGGGAAATCATGTAGATGTCAACAACAGAGCGAGATGGGCGAGGAGGAGGAAGAAGTGGAAGAAAGAGGACGAGGGAAGAGGGTCACAAGCTTCAAGCACTCGCGGGCTGACAGGCTACCAGGCGCACAGTCACAAGAGGCAGTCACTACCCACTCACCCATAGCAATTCGTTGCTATTCGTTGACAGTCACTACCCACTCACCCATAGCAATTCGTTGCTATTCGTTGACAGTCACTACCCACTCACCCATATCAATTCGTTGCTATTCGTTGACAGTCACTACCCACAGCAATTCGTTTGCTATTCGTTGACAGTCACTACCCACTCACCCATAGCAATTCGTTGCTATTCGTTGACAGTCACTACCCACTCACCCATAGCAATTCGTTGCTGTTGCTCAGGGGCAATCCACAGGCACCCAGACGCACAGTCACAAGAGGCAGTCAT